GATGGCACCTGCTGACCTATGCATACACACACACAACAGAGGAGCCCAGGATACGCACAGACCCCAGGCATTGGGACATGCACAACCTACGAGTTGGGGATACACACACACACATATGGAAGCCAGGACACATACAAACACACACAGAACCCAGGGACCTGGGATGGGCACATGCACCTCCATACAGCCCAGACATCTGAGATACACACACACAGTTCAGGAGTTCAGGACACACACAGAAGCTAAGTCTGTCGTGCATGCCCCCTCTCCCCCCAGCTGGGAGATACACACACACACACACACCCCAGGCATCTGGGGTGGACACACACACCCAGGCATGTAAGATACACACGCGCACAGACATACAGCACATGCACCTCCATACAGCCCAGACATCTGAGATACACACACACAGTTCAGGAGTTCAGGACACACACAGAAGCTAAGTCTGTCGTGCATGCCCCCTCTCCCCCCAGCTGGGAGATACACACACACACACACACCCCAGGCATCTGGGGTGGACACACACACCCAGGCATGTAAGATACACACGCGCACAGACATACACACACACACTCACCCCTTCTCCCCGGACGCCCCTCTCCAAATTTTCCCCCCGCCCCCCCGCCATTACGGCAGGCTTGTACCTTGCGGACTACAGAATCCGCAGCTATGCAAATTAGCGCGGCGCGCGGGGGCTGTTGGGAGCGGGGCGGTGCGCAGCACCGGGGGGTATTAGCCGGCAGCAGCGGGGCGCGGGATCCCCCTGACCAGGGTGCCTGGCGCGGGGCGGCGGCCGGCGGCGTCGGAAGCAGCCGGGTATCGTCAGTGAGGTACATCCTTACCTGTCCCGCCCCAAAATGGGCGGGGCCGCCGTGATGAGCGAGAGCGCATGAGCCGTGATTAATTCTCTCGGCGGCGGGTCTGCAACACCCGCCTGCTCTGTCTGAGCGCACTGACGGTTGCGTACTAGTGACGTACGGAGGAAAGCTGAGCTTATTAGTGCGTGCCTGTGTGCCCCTGTGAAAGCCGCAGGGCTTTCTGTGTGTATCTGCGTGTACTTCAGCAGTGCGTGTAAGTTTCAATGCTGTGTGTGTATGCACACCCGTGGTGACCCCAATGCTGTGTATGTGCGCACATGTACATGTGAGAACCTCAACACTGTGTGCCTGTGTGTTAGAAAACCTGAATGCTGTGTGAGAACCCCAGTCCTGTGTGTGTGTGTGTGTGTGTGTCTGAACACCAACACTGTCACATGCACACCTCTGAGAAACCCAGCACTGTGTGTGCATGTGAGCCCCAATGCTGTGTGCAGGTGCACACCTGTGAGAACCCCAATGCTGTGTTTGTGCATGTGTGTGACAGAACCCCAATGCTACGTGTGAGAACCCCAACACTGTATGCATGAGTGAAAACCCCAACACTGTGTGTTTATGTGTGTGAGAAAACCTGAACACTCTGTGTGCGTAAGAACCCCAACACTCTGTGTGTCTGTGTGAGAGAAAGGGAACCCCAACAATGTGTGTGTAAATGTGTATGAACTCCAACACTGTATGTGTTTGTGTGTGTATGTGTGTGAGACAGAGAACCTGAATGCTATGTTTGTGTGCGAGAGAAAACCCCAACGCTGTGTGTGTGCGTTTATGTGTATGAGAACCCCAGCGCCTCATGTGGGGGTGAACCCCAGTGCTCTCTGTGCGAGAGAGAACCCCAGCGCTGTGTGTGTATGCATGTGTGCATGCGTGTGTGTGTGTGAGAGAGAACCCCACTGCTCAGTGTGTGTGTGTGTGTGTGCATGTGCGTAGGTGTTGGCTCCAACCCCTGGCCCCTCCAGCCCAGCGTGGGTCTCCACCAGGCCAGGGGCTGGGCAAGTGAGCCCGTTGGCCTGCTTCGATCAGTTTGTGCCCTGCATCAGGAGCACTCTGTGGAAATCCAGGAACCTCCTGAGATACAGACACATGAGCCTAGAGGTGGCAGAGGGATGCATTTGGTAGCTGTGTTGGTGCAAGACAAAAAGAAATGCAAAACTCTAGAACTCTTGGGTCAGAGATGATACTTTTTATTCAACCAACTAAGAAATCACAAAAAAATTATCTTTCTTTGACAGCTTTCAGGGGGAAAATGGTCCTAAGTGAACTCCAGTCCTACAACCAGAAATTGATAGCAGAGGGCAGTGAGGACACACACAAATCCACCTGGCACAGGATCTTCCAAGACCTCCCCCAGCAGGGAGACGGATAGCGAGACTGAAGAGGACAAAGGAGGACAGCAGCAGCGGCTCCTCCAGCGGGAGGGACAGTGACACCGACACCAGATGAACTGAGACTTTAAACCCTGTAACCAGGGGGTGGACTAAAGCAGCGGTTCTCAGCCCGTGGGTCACAAGAATACAGGCAGTCCTCGACTTACAACGTTTCGAGTTACAACATTTTGCACTTACAATGTTTATAAATTGACACCCTGTTTCAACTTTCTGACGTCAGTTTCGACTTTACAACACTTGATCTGACACCAAACCACGGCAGCGAACAAGTTCGCTGCGTCACCCATCTCCCTGGAGAATGTCTCCTTGGACACTTTCTTTAAAAAAGCAGACAAGACTCCAGACGAACCTGCAGCCAGCACTCCTGACAAGACTCCAGCCAAGAACCCTTCAAAAAGTCCAGCAAAGTCACCTTGAAGAAGTCCTTCCAAACAATATGATTGCTATCTACAATATAAATGCATTAATGTAGCTATATTACTCAACTATAATTGATCGAGTACAAAATTCTGGGTTATTTTTGGTGAAAATAGGGTATTGGACCTTGGTTCAGGAACCAATCCCCCATTTATAACATTGTTTCCTGTGGGAAAAATCGATTCCGAGTTACAAAGTTTCATGAACCAATAGTGGTGTAAGTCTGAGGACTGCCTGTATACAAAAGGGTTGCAAACAAACTTAAAAAAATTCACTGGACTAAGGCACTGCGTGTTCGGGATAGGGAGGCTGCATGGGAGTGTGGGCCTGCGGGTGCAGGTTTTGTAATGGGTTTATGGGTTTTGTGGTGTGAGTGAAGTAAAAGGTGACTGGAAGGTGTATATATGCATTTTATGTATATATAAAAACATTTTTACAAAAAAAATGCCCCTTCCCAACACACCTCCCACTGATGGGTCCCCTGCACTGCACTAGCTCTGCTTCCGGCAGTGCCCAGGCTGCAGCCCCTTTCCTGGAGCTCAGCCTGCCTAGGATGGTGACAGACATGCCCCACGCTGCCCCTCTGCCCCCAGGAGTGCAGGGGCTGATGCAGACCCAGCCACGCAGCTCTCCTGGTACTCAGCCACCCTGGCCCAGGGTGACCTGGATCTCCCAGGGTTGGCTTATCAGAAGGACAGTGTCCCCACTGGAGGGTCCCTTGGACTGGAGACCCCTGCACTTACCTTTGATCCCGGTGTTGGAGCCCAAGCTGCTCCCTGTGCAGGAAGGAAGAAGAGGGTTGTGTGAGCATCTCTGGCCCCCATCCTGCACCCCATACCAGGGCACAGGAGAGCCAGGGAGATGGGAGCTGTTGGCAGTAAGGTCAGGAGCCCTTAGCACTAACCCTGCCCTGCACCCCTGGGCTGACCCCCTCCCCCTGCCACTCCCCCAGGGCTCACACAGAGAGGGTGGGATTGCCAGGAGCCCTATGGCCTACACCAGCTGCCAGCTCCACAGGAGGGAAGGTGAGACCTGACCCCAGCCCACAGCAGATGGGGCAGGGGTGAGGTAGCCCCCTTAGCCCAGGGGTCTGCATGCTAAGAGCGGCCCCAAAGACGAGGCTGCTTCCACAAGGGGGGATGGCTCTGACCTCGGGCCAAAGCCCAGAAATGAGCTACCTGCACAGCATGGAGCTTGGGCTCAGACCAGGACGTGGGGCCAGGGCACCCCCACCGGAGGACGGGGGTGGGGTACAGTTCATGTGGAGCCCAAGAATAGCCCTCGGGGGCCCTCAGCAAGGCAGCCTCGCAGTGCTGGTGCTGGAGTCTGGCTGGTGCCACCCTGGGGGCACATGGACCTGGGAGCCCAGAGCAGCCGGAGAATCCCCCGTCCCCCCCACCAGGTCCTAGGCACAGGGGTAATGAACTCTCCCTGCTCCGCACCTGCCCCAAGGCTTGGGCATGGCCTGGCCCTAAGGGCTTCACCTGGCACGCTGCATGGGCCAAGTGCCCCCTCCCTATTGGTGCCCCCTGTATCCTCTGACCCCCCCAATTCCTCCCCTGCTTAGCGGGGTCAGTCAGCCCCTTCCCCCAACCTCCAGGTTTCTTTTCCCTCCCTGTGCGGGGGTCACTCACCCGTCCTACTCTTGTCCCAGGCTACTCTCAAGGCAGCACCCAGGCTCACGAGCGCCACACTGCAGGTGTTGCTGCTCCAGTCGATCTTGATGGTGGCCCAGGTTTGATAGGTCCTGTCTCTGCTGGGAACAAGCCCCAAGCGACTCATGTCCTGGACCTGTGCCTCCCCGTTCTTCAGCCAGACGCCAGAGATATTCTCGGGGTAGAAGCCGTGGACCCGGCAGGACGAGGTGGTGTGTCCACCTGGGGATGATGGCTTGTTGCTCACCTGTGCCACTGGATGCTCTGGAAGGGAGGAGACACCTATTAGAGTGACCACCATTGGGACCACCCTCAGGATCCCTGCCAGGAGGCCAGGCTGAGCCACACAAACTGGCTCCAGCTCCCATTTCAGGCAGGAACAGACAGCATTGGGGCAGGAGCACAGGGGACGCGAGACATGGCTGCACTGGGCTCGGGGCTACAGGAACAGGGTCCAGTATAGCCGATCTCTGGTTCTCAGACACACGGCTGGGGCACGGGCACCCTGTGGGCTCTGGCTTACTGGGAGGCCTGACCAGGGCAGGGACAGGGCACACTGTGTCCCACAGCAGTGCTGGTATCTCACCCAGTGGCAGGACCGAGACACAGCACTTGCCACCCCAGACACGGGGGGGATGGAGCAGGCGTTCCCTGGGGGAGCGGTGCCCCAGTCAGTGCTGCGCATGGTGGTGACACCTGGACTCACTGCTCTGCAGGGCCTGTGCAGGGCATGCGTGACCTGGGCCTGTGTTGGGGCTGATACCCAGGTGTGCAATCTCAGGTCATAGCTGATGAAAGTCTATCCCATCGTAGCCGAACTGCATATGGCCTCCAGTGCTGCCGACTTTGCAGAGCCTACAGCCACACGTGAGCTGTAGTGTGAGACCCTGAAACACGCAGATCCAGGCCCTGGGTTGGTCACAGCCCCCAGGAGCAGGTGCTGTGGAGGGCTGCCAGGCTGGGCAGGGGCAGAGCCAACCCCATGGCGGGGCAGTGAGACAGCTTGCAGGCTCCATTCATGGGGCACAACTGTGGCCCATACACATCCCTGGAACACAGGAGCCCAGGGCTGGGGAGGAGGGTGGGATCAGCCCCTGGAAGGAAATGGCAAGGTCGGCAGAAAAAAGGGCAAGTAAAAGCAGCTGGGACGAATCCAGGCTGGAGAGCAGAGCAGTGCTTCTCCTTATGGGAGCAGTGCATGTGGCTGCACAGCCTCTCCGCAAGGCAGCAAGACCCATGAGAGTGGAGCCTGAGCAGTGGATTTAAAACAATTTTTTTTTGGAAAAGTATGTTTTTATTCAAATATTATAAAAGCCTAAGTCTGTCTGTCTGTCTGTAACACTTTATTTGTGCTCTGATTGGCTGACAAACAGCCAATCAGAGTGCAAAGCAGCATTCTCACAGAAGGCAGCCCTCCGCCTGGATGGTGGGGGCAGGGGACCGGGGGGGGGGGGAGGGGCCCGGGGGGGGGGGAAGGGCCAGCAGGGCCCCAGCCCCCTGCAGGTAATGCGGGGTGTGGGAGCGGGCCCGGGCCCACGCATCACAGACCTTCACTCGCACCACAGAGTGCAAAACGCCCGCCCGCCTGCCCGCCCGCGGGCGCCCCGCGCCGGTGCAACCTCCGCCGGCCCGAGCACTGGATTTCTTCTTGATTTTTAAGGAGATTTTTTCGTGTCCCGGGTCAAATTAGCCCGATCAGGCCCAAATCCATTAGAATCACGCAAGGACCACACGTGGCCCTGCTACCGGCAAGTGTCCCCGCCCCGCCC